GGAAGGCAACCCAGGCCAGTGAACACATCTTCAAAATCTCTCATGAGTTTGTCAAATGAAAGGGGTTCGTAATTTTCACTGTTTAATGAGTGAATGGACTGGTCTGGTCCTAAACATATCCAACCTTGCTTGATGCACATGTTGCTGTCTACGATAGGCCAAGGAGCATTTTCCAAGATGTCAAAGGATATCTTGCTTTTGGAACCACTGTTCAAGCTGACTGTGAAGGTGTAAGATCCCAATGGCTCAACCACACGTCCATCGTAGAGTCTTATCTTCCCACCAGGGGCCTCCAACTTGACCTGCCCACTCTGCAATATATTTAGGAGGTCGGTATATGACATAGCGCTACATGTTGCCCCTGTATCTAGTTGAGTTGTGATGATAGGGCTGTACTCAGTGTGAAATGTGAGTGGTACCATGAAAGTGGATTTGCCCATGTTACTGCTAACAACTCCAACGCATTCAGTGACAAAAATAGACTCATCAGAGTCAGATGCGGAATCACATGCTGGCTCGTCACCCTCTGCATATCCTGGTGTTACACTTGTGTGATGTACCTTGTTGGCTGGCACACTTGAGACATGATTCTTTTCCAGACACTTAGCGGCAAAATGTCCTTGTTTGCCACATTTAAGACAAGTTTTGCCTGAGGCGGGACATTTAGCTCTATCATAACGGTGATTGGTACCACAAAACTTGCATTGCTTTGCATTTGCTTTGTCTTGCTTACTTTGCTTTGATTCATGTCCTCGATTACGTCGACTTTGCTTTCTATTTCCAAGACCCTGTTTGTCTGCTGCGTGTACGATATTTTGTGGATCACTCACTGCATCTTTAAGCTGCTCCTTGTGTTTTCTTGACAATTCGCTGGCTCTTAGGGCCTCTATGCATCTTGTTAAATTGGGGACTGGGCGTTCTCTAAGTGGCCGGTCACGAGTACCTGAATCTCGGTTACCAATAACTAATCTATCTCGGATTAAACTTTCGCAGACACCCTCGAATTCGCAAGATTCAGCTAGCTGGCACAGTCTCACAACATACTAGTCAATAGTTTCATGCTCAGTTTGATTGGCAAATCCAAACTTGACTCTTTCAAACAATAAATGTTTTTGAGGCATGAAATGGTAGCCTAAGGCGGTCAAAATCTTCGCAGGATCACTCCTGTCTTCGACGGTTAGAGTAGTAAGACTATTCATTACTTTCACACACTCCGAACCCATTATGCTACATAGTGCACCTGCTTGAACTTCCTTAGACTTCTTGTTTAACTCAGTGGCGGTAACATAATATTCCCATGCTTGTCGGAACAATTTCCAATTGGTTGAAACATCATCCTTTACATTCATAGGCGGTGGTGGCGGTATGGTATAGACTGACATGATGAAAAGAAGCTTTGTACTCACAGTTCTGGTGCTTTAGAAAGCAGAGATTCAATATGGTGGCTGCTAAGCTTCCACGTGTTCAGTGCGTAGAGCACTGCAATACTGGAACGGCGAAATGGCTTTACATGAAATCGCTCACCTCGCAATCTTATACTGTTAATGACCGTTTTTCTTGAATGTGTTCACTCCTGACACCCTGTTTATCACTACAGAAGAAGGCAATACTCAAGGAGACGAACGACAGTAAACGAAGCCATGCTTTTAATAACTCCCGAGGCCTTCTGGGGAAGCCCCAAAAACTACTTCATATAACACTTGGGATCCTCAAGGAGTCTTTGAGGGGCAAATGGATAAGCAGCATATCAGCGATGTTCCCGTCACAGGGAACTTCATATTTGTTTGCGCATTCTAATTTTGTAATTATACTGAACCACTACAACTTAGCTTTCAGTTAGTAAGTAAGTAAGTAAGTAAAGTCTTCATTTAGAGAGGGTACCACGAAATAGCATCTAAATGCTGATAAACTAGTGGCCCTCATTACAAGATGTTCATTACAAGATCAAAATAATTAAAAATCATGGCTTACAATAAATTATTAAATATCTATAAAACTATAAAACAATTATAAGCATGTCGCACAATATTTATAAAGAAAAATGATTTAAAAATTGCTGATCTTTAAAAATCCAGTTCGAAAGACAATTTTTAAAAGTCTTGAGAGTCTCTGCTTTTCTCATTTGAAAAGGTAGCTTATTCCATTCCCAGCAAGCAGTCACAGTAAACATTCTTCCACCTTCTGTATTTCGTTTCACTAGAGGACAAGCTATATTAAATTTAGCATATCTAGTTTGCCGTGAACGAGTCTCACTGGTAAGTACTGATAAGTCAGTAAGATAACTAGGCAAGCCACCGCATCTTGATACTCTATCATGGCAATAAACCGAGAAGCCAGGAACAGCATACAGCACATCAGGAATGTTTGGTTTTAAGAAAGTTTCCGTTAGAAAAAGTATATCAACTTGAGGGCTGCCGGACTTTCCAATCACAAAATGTTTGATCTGGTCAAATTTTTCGGAACTTAGGCAATTGACATTCCAATGACCAATCCTTAGTCCCTTGTTGTCCAAGCCGAGATCAAAGTGAGGGGAGATATCATTGCAGTTTTCCAACATAATTGAGGAATTGAAGGTAGCTAACAGAGACTCATCGCTGAACGATGAAGATAAAGATGATGAGAATGACGAATGCAATGAAGGTTCAGTAGGGCCAGGATTTAAGGATAAATCGTTGGATAAGATGACAAGATTTGCCGCCAGAGCATAACGTAAGATACGAATCGTCACAAGTAATTCAATACTTGGCATCATGATAGTTTCACTTGCTGATTTCTTGCGACAGGAAACAGGACATGAAATTCTTGGAGACGATGCTTCTTTAGCCAGAAATAAAGTTGTGAGCTCACTGCCAACATTCTTAGAAGTCAAAGTAAAAACATTATTTCTGGTGAATAAGCTTACAAAGTATAATAGAAGGTGAACTGCCGCAGAACGGATAAACACACGCCCATCTGCCATTTTGTCAATGATCCTCCTCATATGTTTCCAACAATTTGACTTTCAGTGGTGGCGAGTTTGTTGTGGTGGCGAGGCGAATTTACTGCAAACCGAAATGGATAGCATTGCCCTAGCTCAACCTTGTTTTATTTTCTGCTTCAAACTACCGCTTTGTCACTTAAGGTTGCCGATTTGATCACACCCTTACCTAAACACCGTACAAAAATAGGCCACCTATACGATGGCGGAGTTTGACCGCAATAAAAAGAATCCTTCACAGATTTTAATTTTGCTCGTGCACTTTGGATAATAATTTCCCATACAAACTTCGAAAGGTCTTGCATATCTCCGAGTACTTTTTTTTATATTCTGACGATCGTTTATCGAAAATAATAAAGAAATCATCTTTGAGATACACAACTGGGAAACAATGAACAAAAAAACCGACGTAACGCTGGAACGAAAACAAGCTCAAAGCAGCCGACTTAATTAATTTCCTAAAGTAGACTAGCACAACACCTACGATTCACTGCTGAAAAGACGCATTAAAAGAAGGATATTCCTAATAAATTCACCCTATAGATACATACCTCAATATGATCCCATTTGCTGTAATCTACCATAGTTTATACGCGATTTGGAGACACTGGAAGGAAGAAAAAGCCACTTCCTTTCTTAGTATGGCGACCTCTACCGATCGAAGGAGGTTACTTCAAGCAGTTGTAGTGTAACGAGAGAGGCTGGTAGCCAATAATTGATGCGTGGCTGCCAAGCCAGAGAACAAATGATCGTCGAGAATATTCTAAACCGTCGTCAACGAAGCAAGTCATGAGGACTGGAAAAGACGTATACAAATGGACGTGCAAAGATGTGGGTTTTTGGCTTAAAGAAAACGGTTTCGAAGATCATGTGGATCTATTTTCCAAACAACATAAGATAGACGGTGACGCTCTTCTTGTCCTAAATGAAGATGACTTAAGAAATCCGCCGCTGGAGTTGAAAGTCCTCGGCGATATCAAACGCTTATCTCTGGCGATCGCTTCTCTTCAAAGGAAACACAGCCAGCCGACGCACGTAGCACTCCCTAATGGTGCGAATGGAAAATTTAAACGAAAATTTGTTGACCAGATTGATAGCGTGGACGGTTTTGGCGGACAGTTGAGACGAAGCAATTTTTCGGATTCTGATATGGATGATGACGGGCCCGATGTTCATCCCTTCTCAAATATCTCTGAAACAGGGAGAACGTTGATCAGTTTGGTGTATGCGTTTTCAGTATTTTTTGTCACTTCGTTTGTAATGGTTTTCGTCCACGATCGCGTACCAGACATGAAGAAATATCCTCCTTTACCTGACATAGTCCTCGACAATGTGCCGCTCATACCGTGGGCGTTTCAAATGTGCGAGGTCACAGCGCTTATTTTGACTGCCGTTTTAACTACCGTTTTGTTCTTCCACAAGCACAGAGTTATTGTAATACGGAGAATAGCCGCTTTGTATGGAACAGTGTTTCTTCTACGGTGTGTTACAATGTTCGTTACGTCTCTCAGTGTTCCTGGAATCCATTTGGAGTGCTCTGGAAAGGTATAATTAAAGAAATAACGCACAACTCACGCTTTCCAATGTACTTTAAACTGGTCTATATGTAGTTCATGACTTAGAAAAGCACTTAAGCATAATTGAGAAAAAATCGTATTGGTTTCATGATAGTTCAAAATCGATGGAGGCACAGGCAGATATTGTTTACATTTGCGGTAGCCGTAATGTGCTTTGCGTTTTCCAGACATGAATCTTTAATGCGCCTAAAGAATTTGAACGATAATTTTCTGGTTTAAGTTTGCGCTTTGCCTTGATCATCTCGTAACTTCTTTTTCACTTTTTGATTCTTTTTGAAATGATGCCAAATATGGATATTATTTTAAGTGTGCCACACATGGTGGTGGTCATTTGACAGTCCAAACGGAAGTCATGAGTCCTGCTTCATGTCACATTAACCTAGAAAGCAGTCCTGATAAATAAAAAGTCTCTTTGAAACATAAGGGCTCTTCTAAAGCCCCCAAACCATCAAATTTTGAAATGAAGCTGTATTGCAATTTTGTTTCTTGCAGTCTCCTACAGTTTGTATACTTTACATCAGCTCTACAGATTAAAGGTTCCAATGTAGAACAACATCCAATGCCTGCTTTAAGGCATTTATGCTCGTGGTAGGATAGTCAAGGTGTAACACTAACAGAACTTTACTTACAATGTTTTGCTTTCTGTTTTTTTTTTTGTTTTTTTTTGTAGTTGTATGATGACACTTGGACTAAGTTAACAAGAGCTTTTGAGATCCTGTTTGGTTTTGGGATGTCAGTAAATGGTGTTCGTACATGTGGGGACTATATGTTCAGTGGCCACACAGTTTCCATCACCTTGTTGAATTTCTTTGTAACAGAATGTAAGTGCTCAGTATTATTTCATATAACTTTCTCTTATTTGTCCAGTGTCCACACTTTGTGTTCACTCTTTATGTGTTGGTACACTTACATATTACTAACTTCTTAAATACCAAATTTCCTTGAATAAGAGCCCGGGCACTTAAATAAAATTTTGGCCTAGAGAAAGGGTGCTTATTGGTAGGAGAACACTTAATATAGTGGGGAGGGGAGGGTGGGCATGCTTATTAAGAAACTATTAACCTGTACTGATGTAGCTGTAGTTGAAGCTTAAAAAGTCATAAATAAAGTGGTAATAGAAACAGGTTTTCCCCGTATCCCTACTACTTAAGAAAGTGGATGAGAAAGGAGGATGCTTATTATTCAGGGAAATGTGGTATTATTTAAAATGGTTAAATGAAAATGCTGTGGTTGAAATTTTAAGTCAGTTTAGAATTTTTTAGACTAGTTCATTGACTCTCATTTCATTTTGTCTTGTATTCTTTGTTTTGATTTGAAACAAAGGGAAAATTTAAACCATGAAAAAAATTTAACATAACAACAAAAGTACTGATGCATTTTTCGATGAGTGTTAGGGAAAGGTGAATAGCATCATTGTACATTTAAAAACTGAATCACCAAGTTGCAGGGAATGTACAGTTTAATAATAAACCAAGTTACAGTTTAATAAGCTTTGTAGATAATACATGTACTAGGTGAAGAGTCGCATCCAGACTGCTGCTTGTATCAGCAATGCTGTAACCATTCGTTGTTGATAAATGTAGAAGAAATTCAGTTTGAACCATTAGTTAGTAAACTACCAGTATGTTCTTGGGTCTTGAGTGAAGAAATTTTAAAAATTGAATTGACTTGATGGCTTCTTAAATTGATAACTTTGTTAATAACAATCTTTTTTTTTTTTCATTTCCTAGGTTAAGTATTTTGATGTTTCTGCATACATGTACTGGTACACCTGTAGGTGGAAACATCTTTATGTAAGGATTTACAGTGCAAAAATTATTTACTGAACACATTTTCATTTGTTCAACAATTTCCTTACAGATACACCATACTACATGTACTACCTACACACCTGCTGCTGGGTTCTGAATATGTTTGGAATCTTCTTCATCTTGGCTGCCCATGAGCACTATTCCATAGATGTTGTTATTGCTTTTTATATTTCTTCCCGTCTGTTTCTTTACTACCACACTCTCGCTAACACTCAAGCACTTAAATGGATTGATAGCAAAAGGACCCGCATATGGTTCCCACTTTTTTGGTTCTTTGAAGAAAAGGTGTCTGGCAAGGTGCCAAATGAATATGAATGGCCTCTTAAATGGCCCAGGTTTATGTGCAAGAAATCCAAGTCCCATTAAAAGCCTGCATGTGCATTGAGATCAATAACTGAACTAGCTGGTTAAAGAATGAATAAGGTATGATTTTGTAAGTTTCATCACAGGAGTTAGACCACTTGAAAGTGGTCATGTAGGAAAATATGTATCTTGGTTACAGAGATAGTAGTGTCTAGGGAAGGCAATCATCTCTTTTTTGAAAACTCAGCCAACCATATTGACCAGAGGCTTTGCAAAAGCCAAAGTACCACCCTCTTCCCCCCTAAAAACACCTCCCTTATTGGGAATTGTTGTGTTTAAATGTATAACACTACACCTATATGTACTTGTAGTACACAGTGCATATGTAATTTATTTTGAAATATTTATGATAATTATTTGAAGATTTTCAAAGCTGAAATTGTACTCTCAGTAATGTTTCTTTGACTAACCACATTTAAAACAGAAAAACATTAAAAACATTTCAAGTGAAACATTTCTCTGAATTTAAAACTGGTGAGATTAACAACAGTCACTTTTGCAATGAGAAGGAACTAACTGAGATAAGAGTTTCATATTTTTTGATGACGATTTTAATTTAATTGACTATTGTGAATGTTATGGATTGGATTTCATTGAATTCTATTATACTTTGAACTATTTATTTTAATTGATTTTTGTGGGTCTGAAATAAATGTCCAGGGCCAGTTTAGCAATGTACAAAGATGTGACCATTACTTTACGTAGAGGAAAGAAGCATTTTTTCCCTATATCACTGTGGGCTGACATCAAGCATTGTGAAAGAGACCTACTGACATTCATAAGGAAGAAAATTTGTTTGAAAGATGTGTACTCTAGAGAGAGAAATTTTTTAATATATTATTTAAGATTATTAGCTTAATTTTTGTGGGGAATTACTTGATAGTAAAAGCTATTATTTGCTTAATTTTATGATTCAAATAACAAAGGCAGCTAGTATGTGGTAGATCACTTTGTTTGAAAAAAGTCCATCAAGTTAAATGAGATAGGTCATTAAAAATCACTGTAAACTTTACAGGGATGTTGTTGATCAAAAAAATTTGTAATGGTTCTGCTATCAAGTTTATTTTTTGGCTTTATATTTAATGTTATATGTGGGTAAGAAGGTATAGAAAACCTGGTTGTTGCAGTTTTCTCAAATTGTTATATTATATATAATAATATAAATAATTTAAATATATTTTGACCTTAAATTATCAGCAAATGTATTAATGAGTGTTGAAATTAAAATTTTTTGACAATTGGACCTGATTTTCTGATAATTTTTTTTCATTGGCACACTTCACTTCATTTTACTGTGTCACCTCAGATATCAAAAAATCATTTTTTGACAATTGGATCTGATTTTCTGATAATTTTTTTTCATTGGCACACTTCACTTCATTTTACTGTGTCACCTCAGATATCAAAAAATCACTTCCCCAGCTTTTGGTGGTAAGGAAAAGAGCAATGCACTTGCATTTAACAAAGTTCTGATGTTAAGGTCCCACCGAGATTTGAACTCGGATCGCTGGATTCAGAGTCCAGAGTGCTAACCATTACACCATGGGACCACCTGGGACAGAAATCAGCAAATCTAAGATACTACAATTAAAAATTCTCACTCGATTTGAAGTTCATAAACTGTATAGACTTCGTTCAACGTTGTTTGTAGATGACACTGAGTGCAGACAAATGATAAAACCAATACGATGATTGTCCGAAATTTTGCTGAAAAGTTAACTTACCTGCATTTAATTTATTTACTTCTAGCTCTATTTCTCCGTTATCTTGTAATGAGGGCAAGTGAACAAAGCAA